TTACAATACTATAAATTATTTTTAAGACAAAAATACAAAAAATATTCTTCTTCTAAACTTAATTTCTTTTAATCAATTAATAGATTAGGATTTTATTTAATTTCTTTTCCTAATAAAATTAGGTTTTTACTTTTTACTAATTTAATTAATTATTTTTCTTTAGTTAATTAGGTTAAAAAAAAATCTTTCCTTCTAAAAAAATCCAAATAAACATCCATTTTCTTTACATTTATATTCTTGTACATTTATTCATTTTGTACATTATATTCATTTAATTTCTTGAACATTTATTCAAATTCAATATGGTTGTAATAGATAATTAGGCTTTATTTTCTTGCAATCCCCATTTATAATTTGTACACCCCTCCCACAAGTATTGTAATAGCGTAGTAATTTTAAATTCCGCAATTTATCGCTTTACATATAAAATGCTAGTAATTAGGGTTTATATGGAAAGACTAAAACCAATTAATTAGAAAACCCTAATCAAAGACAAAACCAAGCATGAAAACAATACACTTGCACACAAACACCCCTAGGATAAAATCCACTTGGTTGCCTTATAAAATGGCCATATTACGCATGTGAGGTATCTTAGCAAAAGCAAGCAAAGTATAAGATCGTAGTCCCTCGATGACGCTATCTAAGTTGCCTTTCAGATGATCTTAGTCCCTAAAAGAGAATGCTAAGATACCTTGCAACATTGCTAATCATGGTTATACGATGACCCACGCCCGTCCCGTTTACATCCAAAGATAGGGTTACTTACCAAATAAATGGTAAGATAACAATGTCAAAGGAAAAAGGAAATGAACATGAAAGACTTTTGAGTAGGTAGAATGTTCCTAGTTACTTGCTCACTTTCAAAATAAAACATCCTTGCTATTTTCAAAACAAACACCTACACTTTCGAAACATCTTACAAACTTGAAAACATTTTCAAAAGATCAACATCTTTGTATACATTCTTACGAACGAGAATCATTACAAAGTTTGCCTGAACAATAGCCTCTTTACAAAATACTTTCAAAAACCACACAAAGCACAATTTCAAACAAAAGCAAGTGATCTAGCAAGTAACTAAGAGCCCATGGAAAACCATGGATGAAAAGGGTGCTAATACCTTCCCTTGTCATAATCTACCCCCCAAACTCAAGAAATAATCTCAAAGGTCTTTCCTGTGCTTTTTCACCTTTCCTTTTGGATAAAAGAAAAGTCGGTGGCGACTCTTGCTAATCGCAACATTTGCAATCAAATACAAAACACCCAAGTCAGTTCTCCCACCGTATCACACAGTCGAAACAACTTCACCCCAAAACTCTTTAGGTAAATTCTTGCCTTTCAACATGCTTCTCACCATATTCATGATGGTTCTATTCTTCCTTTCTGCAATTCCATTTTGTTGTGGAGTATATTGTGGTACCACCTCATGCACAATCCCTTGCTTTTCACATAGCCTATCGAAGTCTTTCGACACATATTCTCCACCACCATCAGTTCTCAAAACTTTGAGCTTTCGACCACTTTGTCTTTCAATCATAGACTTAAACTTGACAAATATTTCGATCACTTCACTTTTTTCTTGATCAGATAAGTCCATAACTTTCAACTGAAATCATCTATGAATGTAACAAAGTATTTATTACCTCCCATCGAATCCACCTGGATTGGTCCATATACATCAGAGTATATGACTTCAAGAATAGCCTTCGACCTGCTTCATACATCCTTGCTGAAGTTATTTTTGTGTTGCTTCGCCTGCACACATTCTTCACATACCTCGTTTGGAATGTCGATTTCTGGAAATCCTGAAACCATATTTCTTCTCTTCAAATCTTTGATGTCTCTGAAGTTGAGATGACCTAGTCTATAATGCCATGTCCATTCATCTTTGCTAGTTGCAGTCGAACGACACTTGTGCTCCATCACATTTAGTTCGATCTTGAAGGTTCGATTATGAGACATAAGAGCCTTCAAGATTAATCTTCCATTTGTATCGACGACTCTCATCATCTTATCTTCGATTGAAACTTTATAATTCTTTTCGACCAACTGCCCTATACTGAGCAAATTGCTCTTCATGCTTAGTATGTACAACACATTGGAAATTACCAACATCTTGCCATCTTTATTCATAATCATAACATCGCCAATATCTTCAGCTGCTAGGGTATTGTCATTTGTGAATTTTACCATATTTTTCATTGAGGGCTTTATGTTGATAAACCAGTCTTTCCTTCCAGACATATGTGATGAGCATCCTGAGTCCAAGTACCATTGGTCCTTGAATCTATCTTCATCTTTTGTTGTGACCATCAACATCATCTCTTCTTCTTCATGTTTTGCAAGCTTTGCATCACTTTCTTGATTCTTTTGTTTTTCTGGATAATCACTCGAATAGTGACCATACTTCTGACAATTGTAACATTGAATGTGACTCTTATCAGGTTTTCGACCACCATCTCTTCCTCTATTTGCAACACCACCTCTTTGGTTGCCTTGGTATGGTCTTCTTTGATTCGAAAAGTTTTCTTCGTTCTGGTTTCCTCTGCCATTCGATTTGTTGTATCCGCCTCTACCTCTATCGAAACATTTTCCTTTGCCTTTGGTTTCTTTTGTTGAATGTGCCTGCAAAGCCACATCACTCTTTGATTTGCCTGCAGCTCTTTCGTTCATTCTTTGTTCATGAGATTCAAGTGTCCCTTGAAGCTCTTCCTTTGTCAATTTCCATAAGTCTTTCCCCTCTTCTATCGCCACCACTATGTGGTCAAACTTAGGAGCTAAAGATCTCAAAATCTTTGAAACAATATCTCTTGTTGTTAATGTTTCTCCATATACCTTGATTTGATTTACTAGTTTTGTAACTCTAGTGAAGAAATCAAATATGCTTTCACTATCTTCCATCTGAAGCAATTCATACGTTCTCTTGTGAGTTTGTAACCTCACTTCTTTCACCTTTCCTGCACCACCAAATGACTTCTCAAGAACATCCCAAGCTTCTTTTGCAGATTCTGAATCACTTACTTTTTCAAAGTTTTCTAGACTCACACATTGATGAATTATAAATAGTGCTTTATAACTCAGCTTCTCAATTTCTGTGTGTTTCTTCTTCTGAAGTGTTTTCTCCAAGCGCTTCGACTCCATCTTTTACAAGGTCACAAAGCCCTTGACACCTGAACAACACTTTCATCTGTTTGCACCAATTCTCATAGTTGTCTAATTTCAGAATTGGGAGAGTTGCTGGATAATTTGCATTCCCATAATTCTCCATCGTGAATTCTTCAATCGTTCTTAATTGATACTTCCCTTGAATCAAAATCGGGCTCTTGATACCAGATGTTGGAAATCCACCAAATATCCGTGATGAATTTCTACTTCAATAACAATGAATTATGAGAAAAATAAGAAAATAAAGAAGACAATTATTTTCTGCAGAGTTCCTCTCTGTCCACAAACTGTGTAAAACTTTGTTATTACTTGCAACTGCAAATTCTGTAAATACAACTTAATTGACTTGATTACAAAAAATAAGGGTTACTCCCTCTATTTATAACTGAGCTTGCACCCTAAGCCCAAAGCCCAAAATATCTATTTTGTTACTAAATAAAATCTAATTTGTTCCAGACTTAAATCAAATCTATTTAAATCTAAACAAATCTAATCTTTTCGGTACTATGAATTACAATTTAACAATTTTGACAACTCTAGGTTAAATCAACAATAAAGAAGGAAAGCAAATGAAAAGATAAAAAGCAACAGTTGAGGTTCACCTCAAAAATATAAACGCCACTTGAGTACATTCAAGCATCCTAGAGAGAATCACCACACTTAGCCTAGAAACCTAGGGCCATGTGTCAAAAATGTCATGCGAAACGACTCAAATGATTAGAGTAACATTTAATGTATTTGTCTCTTAAGTTTTTCGTACCGTCTCCCAGACCTTTCTTCTTCCTCGGGTAATGTGACCGGCCCAATTTTCTACAAAGATTTCTCATTTGTTATGCCATGACAAGTTTAGGAGGTAACTATTCTGGATCACCCATAAGGTATAATAAAAGAAAGGCTTAATGGTCATTTTGGGACCATCCAACCACTCATCACACATATACATCACTGCGTAAAATCTAAGGGATGATTTTTCACCATAATTCACTATACTCTTTTTGGACTTTTGGAGGTCCACTCCATACAGCTGCATTAGAGACCTGCATTCCTAATGAGAGTCTACTAATAAACTATTAATTGATTCGTCTAATTTTGACATCAAGTGGTTTCAGTCCTCTCTCGATCGCAGTTGTGGGGGATCAAACTATTGTTCTTCCTACTAAGTCCAACGTCAATCACCACTAGACCAACTAACAATTGATAATTGATTCGTCTAATTTAAACTCAATCAATTTTACTAAAATTGTAACAAATAAATTTTATACTCTAATATACAAAAGATAAAAATTATTTAAAAAAAATTAAATATAAATAATAGATCTGATACCTTGAATAACTAATGTATTTAGACAATATATAAATCAAATATATTAATTATCTTTAAAAGGTATTTTTTTTATAAAAAAAATCAGTATTTATAAATTTTCCTTAAAAAAAATCATGCGGTAAATAAAATAAAGAAAATTATTAAAATGAATACGTGTATTGTAAAATTACGACATGGCGTGAATATACTCTTATAGGTTGCTTGCTTGAAAATTTTCGTAACACCCAACTAAGAAATAGAAAGAAAGAAGAGAGAGAAAAGAAAACAACGAGAGAATATCTTGGTGACATCCAAAAACAAATGCCAATTCCCAAAACAAAATAAACTTCGTCCTCTCTCTTTCATCTCTCAACCGAAAAGAAAAAACTAAGAAACTCTTTAGATCTATCCATCTATCTTTCACACACACTTTCACTTTTCCTTCTAAGTTCTAACTAATTCTCACACATCACAAACCCTCTTCATATCGTTTCGATGCGATAATTTTCTAGGTTTTTGAATTTCAGCGATGGATCCTTCAACCGACGATGATGATAGAGATGTGCGCAAATCGTTTGATTCCGTTTCTTGTTCAATCTGCCTCGAGATTGTTTCCGATCGCTGTGGTAGATCGTTCGCGAAGCTTCAATGCGGTCATCAGTTTCATCTCGGTAACGGTTTTGTTGATGGTTCATCTTGTTCTGCTTCGATTCAATGCTGCATTTTATCTGTTATCGTTAATTGATTTGGTTTTTTTAGATCTGAATTTTAATTTTCATCACTGATGAATGCTCCTTTTGTGATATGATTTTGTTGAAGATGTTATTGAATTAACTCTCGTAATTTATTATTAGTGGAGTTGTGATTTTTATTAGCTTTAGTGGCTTTGGTTTGAATCAGATTGTAGAACTAGTAGGTGTTTTCTCTGTTACGTTGTTTTTCAACTTTTAACAAACTAATAGCTGTTTTCTGCATGTGACCGTATGGAATTGTTGTTTGTGATACTTCTTATTTTCTTCTTTGTATTGTTTTAGATTGCATTGGATCGGCTTTCAATGCAAAAGGAGCAATGCAATGTCCTAATTGTCGGAAGATTGAGATAGGTCAGTGGCGTTATGGTAACGGCAGCCGATCATATCCAGAATTCAATATGGATGATTGGACACGTGAAGAGGATGCATATGATCTTAGCTATTCTGAACTGGTAATAGAAACTGTGGACATTATTATACATGTGTTTTCGCATTGTCTTATATGACAAACATTTGTGAATTGTGATAGATATTATGTGTTTGGTTTGTTTTGTTCTGTTCTATATCATTTTGGAGTCTGCGAACTTATTTATTGCTTACGTGTTGTGTGTTATTGTTTCCGAAGTTGAAGGATCATATACTCCTCTAAAGAATAGCATTTTCCCCTTCATTTGCTCTTATGAAACAATTGCTAATATAGAATACTCCCAAGTAGGAAAAGTAATAACAGAAACCAAATAATATTGGGGTGAAGCACAACCATGAGAAGAACATTAAAGGGGACCATAAGGTCAATCATATTCCTTAACAGAACAGCTTTACGAAACTGTGATGTCTATGAATTGGCAACATGTCATTTGTATTAGTCAACAGTGCTTTTTAGAACAGTTGTATAAATTAAAAACATGACCGTAGAGATTAATTCCATTCCATCCTAACCTCTACTGAGTAACAAATTTTTTAAAATTAGGCACTTATTTTATATAGATGTATGAGTAAGAAATTTTAACAGACACTGCTTGATTTCTCAAAGGGTTTTGTCCAGAAATTGTCATCTTATGATAGCAGTTAGCACTTAGCTTGCCTACTCAAGCACATACATCATATTTTATGAAAAGTATTCAGGAGGAAAGAAAAGATTGAATGCTATCTGGGTTGGAGAAAAAAGATGGAATGCTATCTAGATTGTGGAGAAAAACTGGATGTTGCAAGCATTTATCCACTCAAAATATTAGTTATTATCTTTGACCTGTTGTGAATCCTAACTCTCTTCTGTTGCCTTATTCGTTCTTATGCTTTTTCCTTCAAAATTCAAATGTTCCAAGTGTGTAAACTAATCCTACAGGTTAATTATTATTTTTATACCCATTTACTTCCTCCGGCCTAGGCAAAAGTAAAAATGTATTTAGCCTAAATTTGGACCAAATACGTTTTGACTTCTACTTATATTTAAGACCGGGCTAAGTTGTTCTTAAATCTTTCCGTTTTTTTTCTTCTTTCTAATGTTTGATAGTTGGAACTGTGAATTTCAAGATTGGCATTACCTGCTTTAAATGGAATCTCTTGTTCTTTTTCATTTTCATTTTTGTGAGTGTGAATATGTTCTGTCTACCATTTTAACTGAACTTTGATTTCCAAATTATTTCTGCAGTCCATGGGAGTTCACTGGTGCCCCTTTGGTAACTTTACCCAACTTCCTTCTTCATACGAGTAAGCTTACAAACATACTAAAATATGCATGCAGATTGCAGATTAATCTCTGTCCAAATTCCTGTTGGTGTTAGTCTTTTGTGCTTTGAAATATCTCGCCTGTGAGATAACTGATAACATGCATAGGACTTTTTGTGAAGGCCAGTTCTAAGATACAATTGGCTCTCTGAGTGTTAATGATACCACTTGTTACTTAACTTGGAACTGGATTAGGCTAATGAAGTCAAATGTGGCTAAAGCTATTGGTGATGTTAATATCATTACCAAATAAAATTTAGAATTCAGATTATATTTTAGATAAAGATAAGAATTAGGAGATAAGATGAAAAGTAGGGAAAGCCTAAGAATACTTGGAGAAAAGTATTAAGAATTTGAAGAGAGCAACATTAGTTGAGCTGGAAAAGTTATGTACTATGCTGCTCTTTGAAGTCTCTCTCTTTTTTCATATATAATACTTTTATTTCAAATTGATCCCAGAGTTTCCCTTCTTCTTCTGTGTAAGTCATTACACTTCAGAATTATATACATAATAGACCAGTCTAGTTTTGTTAGGAACTGTCAAAATGAAATGGGATGTGTGTAAGAAGGGTAATGTTAGCTTAGTAGTAACTGTTTGATCCAGAGTGGTATTATAGCTAATGTCTTGGCTCGAGTTCAATGCCTCTAGGCTGTAATAGCATATACATGAACTAATAAAGGAGTCATTGGTTCTAAGCCAGCATGCTGCCTTGGCCCAAACTCTTGAGGTAGGTGCTGGGAGGAAGATGGTTGGTTGTGGAACTTGTGGTAGATAGAGTTTGGGTATAATTTCGCAATTTGAAAATCTTATTTAGCACATAAAATAAAATAAAAAGGTGTAATGATATATTTTTTCTTCATTGCTTGTAATCCTCTTTTCCTGTAATGAAATAAAACGCAACATTGTGCTATGAAGCTCCTGCCTTTGCAAGGGCCAACGGAAGGACATACCCATTTCGGATCTGTTATAGCCAGCCTTACCTTGCATATTTGAGAAAAGAACCCGAAACCTCCTACTTGCACTGTACTAACTACAGCTCTTGTGTCAAGGCATCCCTTCTTGTAATGAAATATCGCATTCTATTTAGTAAAACAAAAAAGGAGTCTAAGGGCTATTATGCATGAATGGTATTGGTTTTATTATACATCTCTTGCATTTTATCCATTGAAAGTAGTATCCAAAGTTGATTAGTTTAGAGTATAGAATGTTAAGTTTTCTTTCAAAACTGTTCCGGTCCTCAAACTATTATAAAATGCCATTGCTAGTCATTTCCAAAATAAGTTTTGCTTAGAATGTTATGTGAGGTTTCAGAACTGATATATAACTATTATTTGTGGAGCAAAATCATGATCTCTCTTGGACTTGTTGAAAGAAAGATTGGTCGTCATTTTATTTGTATGTGGACTTACCATTTTTTTTATGAAATGGTAACTCATGTTATGCTTGTATTCTTTTTACAGAGAAAGGGAATTTGCATCAGCTGCGTGTAAGATTCTTTTACCTGTATACTACCCCCTCCTTTCGTTGCATTTGACAATTCTATCTTGACTGAAATTTTGAGTTGCAGATCATGATGCACTGGGACCACATGCTATGTTTTCCGAGCATTCAGCCGTGTCTTCTGGTAATCATCCTTGTCCATATATTGCTTATGTCGGACCAATACATCCCTCCTCCTCCAACTCTGCTGGAACTGTTTCAGAAGTTTCTAATTTCAATCACTGGAGTGGTCCTCCTACACACGGCGACATGTCAACATCTTACACAATTCCGGCGGTGGTTTTTCATTATCACAGTTGGGATCACCATTCCTCCCATTTCTCTTCTGGTAGCAGCCATCTCGGTGCTGCTGATCAGTCATCAGTATCACAAAGTAATCAAAGGCCAGCCAGGGGTGGTTCAGAGGTCCCTAGATCCGGATCTTATATGCTTCCGTTCCCTGTTGGACACAGGTATCTCTTTAAGTTCATGTACCTTGCTAGGATGCTTTTGAGTTTGCTGTAATATATTGCTCGAGTCTCGATGTAACTTCATGAAACAAATCATATTATACAACATACACCAATAGTCTGTCTAGTGAAATTGGATAAAATTAAACTAATAGATCAATGATTTAAATATATTGTTGGACCCTGCAAATATACCACCTTTTGCTTTTAATCCTATAAAAATACAAAAACAATAAACAAGCCTTATCCCACTAAGTGGTGTCGGCTACATGGATCTAATTATGCCATACGCCATGATGTTCTATCCAAGACCATCTTTCTTAATAGTTTCTCTTATAATTTTCTTAGGTCTTCCTCTACCTATAGTTGTCTGACACATTTCCATCTGATCTATTCTCCTTAACATAATCTACAAGTCTTTTCTTTACATGTTCAAACCCCCTAAGCTTATTTTAATCCTATAAAAATAGTTTTTGTTTTTAATGTTAGCAAATATATGTTTTTTTTTTTGCTTTTAGTATGTGTAATATGCATACTATTCTTTTTATTCCTTATGTGTAGAATGCTCATTTTTAGTCCTTATGCAGTCAGTATTGGAGGGATTTAGATAAAATGTTTAATGTATATTTGCAAGGATTAAAAACAAAATATATTTTTTTATAAGGACTAAAAGTAAAAGGTGATATATTTGGATGTGCCAACATAATATTTAAACCTAGACTAATAAAGGATGAAAGTGAGCAACTTTGCTGGCTGGTAGGTTTGATACCTGAGGTGTGTAATTTTGCAGTACTATTCCTCGAGCTGGGAACTCTGCTGCATCTTCCATGATTCCTCCTTATGCAGGAATCAATGCTCGTGCCCGTGATAGAGTCCAGGCGCTTCAAGCATACTATCAACAACAGCAACCTCCGAATTCTACCACAGTACGGGCACCTGTTGCTTCTAGCGCTCGAAGATCCAACGGTCACAGTGGGTCAGCTCTATTAGCATCTTTGGCCTCAGCACCAGATCAAAGTGGTAGCTATGTTTATGTCCCAGGAGGACACAATTTTCATGAAGAAACCCGGCTTCCAAATCAATTACATGCATGGGAAAGAGATCACTTGCCTTCATACCATCAGACTGCAGGCAGGTCAGACCCAGGTTACATATCTTCAAGCTATCGATTAAGGAGTGATTCAGACAGAACACCTTCACAAAATCGGTGACACACTTGTTAATACCAAACTACCATTATTATGGTAAATCAAAATTTATGTATGCTTAAAAAATGTTACATAATGCTTTGGCCTGGCTGATGTGTTATCTTAGACTCTATATATACTCTGGCTGGCCATGGAATTGATCTTTCTGGCAGCTACGAGGCATTATGAATGAACATTGGAGGCATTATGAATGAACATTGGCTTCCTCTGGTTTGTTGCTTTGGAGAGCATAAAATAAGATGATATCCAGTTGGAATATCAGGTTTTGTAAAGAAATATTGAGGCGTTGTCCTCTCAAGTGATCAATCGAGTGGATGTGCATTAATTGGATTTGTTGTAGTGCGTAAGCGATTTACTTTCCTTACAATTTTTAAGGAGTTCATGCAAATGCTTTGTATTGAGAATGCGCTTTAATCTTATCTCGCCACTTCATTGCAAATGCCACTAGTTTTTTTACCAGCTTAAAAAACTGCTCCCTCTGTAATGGTTTTTTGTTTTACCAGTTTTAAAATAATTTTTAAATGTATTAAAAATGTAAGAAATAGATTAAAGGGAATAGGAATTGTACCCAATTATTTTTATTAGCCAATCTATGGGTTTTTTTATTTTATAAGTGCAAACATATTGTTCGTTTAGAAATGAATGGAATAAAAATACTAGGAAGATTGTTTATCACGTATGAAACATGGACATCTCAAATATGACCCTGACGCTTAGACAACACTACTGATATGGCCATATCTTATTATTTCAGAGATGTTGGTACTACATAGTTAATATTATTTTAAGATGTTTTTTTCTTTCTCAAAGGAGTGTTTAAAATTCTATGCGAAATTATTTTAAAATATTAAATATAATGTAGAATCCAGTTATATTGGGGAGGATTTAAAATTCCATGCAAAAATATCATGTCATGTTTTAAATGTTATAATGAGGAAGGTTTATAAAAACATTTTGTCAATGCTTGATTTATTTCAAGCGACTTTTTCTACTAATCTTATAATACATTCAAAAAGAATTCTAAATTTAAAACGAAAATTTGAACTTCTTTTATACTTTTTGCATTTTTGTTTTTCGAATTTATTTTATCAATCTTCAACATTATATGTTGAGATTGAAATTAATTCCTACACATTATCAATTACATATAAATCCAAAAAGTTTTCCATTATCAATTCATCAAATCATTATTTGTATACATTATTTTGTAGATGATTAGAATAAAAGTCAAATTTCTTTCAAAATCTAACTTTTATAATTATAATTAATTGATTGTGTACATTTTTTTTCACTATTAATGCATTGCAATTAAATTATTTGAGACTAATCGATATATATTGTCAATGTAAAAAATTTTATATCATCATTGCATCACAACCATTCATATATTTATTTATAGAAAAATTAAACACAAATAAAAATTTAATTGTTATGATTAATATATACTATACAAATTTTATATAAATCGGTATATGTCAATTAAATTCTTATATTTTTAAGACAATCACTCCAATTCTATAATTAAAATCTTTTTAATAAAATAAAAGTATTTTTTTATATTTTTAAAATTCTTATATTTTTAATCCTTAATATTAAAACATAATACACTTAGATGTCAAATTTTAAATAAAATTTCGCATAAATAATTTTTAATTATTTTTTTTCTATTTCTAACGAATATTATTTAATATATTAATTAATATTTAATATTAATTATCCTGAATCAATTAATTTCTATTTATTTCAAATATTCAATCATCAAAAATTCTAAATTAAGAAGTTACTAGTTATTATTAAAGCTGACATACACAATTGAAACTTGAAAGAACTTAGATTCAAATATATGTACGACCCAATCTTAAACCCTAAATATCTATCTAAGCTGTTCTCATCTCCGTTCGCAGCCCTACCGCTGGTTCTCTCCAACGGAGCTCTTCTTTGTTCTGTTTACAGTTGCATCTATTTCATCAACAAGAGAAATGATTTTTGCTCGTTCTTCTTCTATCTTTTTTAAACAAATTTATCCTATACTTCATTTTCGAGTTTCTCAGTTTTGTACCATTTGTTAGTGCAAGGTGATGAAATTGAGGAAGAAGAGAGAAAAGGAATAAATGCTAAAAGCTGCCACTAATGATTGAAGGAAATTGATTGTATTAAATGTAAACCTAGTACACCTATTTATACACAACAAATAATAAAGATAAGAATGCCACATAGACCCTAATGAGAATGTCTAACAAATAACAAATACTAAATTACCCTCTAATACCATTCCGTAATTTAGTAACTTATCAGAAGGTAACAACACCAATTTCATCTCTCAAGCAAAGAAATTGGTTTGTTTTTATCGCCTTTGTCAGAACATCTGCAGCTGCTTCTGAGTGCTACAGTGCAGAACTTCTAACACTCCTTTCTGCACTTGACTTCTGAGAAAGTGATACTTTGTCTCAATGTGCTTGCTTCTTCCATGTAGCACTGGATTCTTTGCAAGATTAATTGCAGACTTATTATCAATCATCAGCTTCAGAGGTTCCTCAACTTCAACCTTCAGATCATGCAGCAGATTCAGAAGCCAAACTGCTTGACAAGCAGCTACAACACCTGCAATGTATTCAGCTTCACATGTTGATAAAGCTACAACAGGCTATTTCTTGGAACTCCAAGAAATTGGACCTCCCAGAAACTTGAACAAGTACCCAGAAGTACTTCTTCTGTCAACTCTATCTCCACACCAATCAGAATCAGAATAACTCAAAAGTTCTGATTTGATCTTTCCTCCAGAAGGAAATAACACTCCATATTTCAGAGTTCCTTTTATATACCTCAGAATCCTGACAGCAACTTGGTAATGAGACCAATTTGGTTTGCTCATGTATCTGCTGACTATTCCAACTGCATAACAAATATCAGGTCTGATATTACACAAATACCTCAGAGAACCAACCATCTGTTTGAAGGTTGTAACATCCACATCCTCTCCATCAGAATCAAAGTCCAACTTCTGATTCGTATCAGCAGGTGTGATAGCAACCTTGCAATTTGCTAGCTCAAATCTCTTCAGAAGCTCTAGTTCATACTTCTTCTGATGTAAGATGATCCCTTTCTCAGAGTATATAAATTCCATCCTTAGAAAGAAACTCATTTTTCTAAGATCTGTCATCTCAAACGCATTCATCAGAACTTTCTTGAACTCAGTTGTTTCTTGTTCAGAACTTCCTGTGAGTAATATGTCATCAACATACAAACAGACCAAAATCATATTACCTTCTGAAGTGTGCTGAACATAAACACCATACTCCATCTCACACTTCTGAAACCCTTGTTCCTTGAAAAACGAATTAATCTTCAAATTCCAAGCTCTGGGCGCTTGCTTCAGTCCATACAGAGCTTTATTTAACCTGTATACCATCCCTTCCTGATTCTTTTTCACAAATCCAGGAGGTTGTGACACATAAACTTCTTCCTGTAATGGACCGTTCAGAAATGCAGACTTCACATCCAGATGTATCAAAGGCCAATTTCTGTTTGCAGCTAAAGCAATCACCAGTCTGATTGTTTTGTGTCTAGCTACAGGAGCAAACACCTCAAAGTAATCTAGTCCAGGTTTTTGAAGAAAACCTCTGGCCACTAGTCTCGCTTTGTGTTTGCCAATTGATCCATCTGGCTTTAGCTTCTGCTTGAAAACCCATCTGACGTTGATGGCTTTCTTGCCTTTTGGGAGTTCTGTCAGCTTCCAAGTCTTGTTTCTTTTAATAGCCTCAAGTTCTTCTTTCATGGCATTCAACCATACTTTCTTCTTGAGAGCTTCTTCAATACCCACTGGCTGTTCATAATCTACTAGTATGGCACACTGAACGATTTCTCCTTTAGAATCTACTTCAGTATCATGCAACATGCTAAAATCTGCAAACCTACTTGGTATTCGTCTGATTCTCTGTGGCCTCTGATCTTGTTCTGAAGCTTCTCCAGAACTCAGAAAAATGCTAGCTTCTGGACTTTGTCCAGAATTATTTCCTTCAGAATTACCACCTTCAGAGTTACTTCTGGAAACTTGTTCTCCAGACCCCATGTCTTTAGAGTTTTCCCTTCCAGAAGTATAATCACCACCAGATTCTGGATCATCATCAGAATCTGGATCAGAATCAGATCCACTATCAGAATCTCCCTGAGATTCTGACTCATCTTCAGAGTCTTCATCTTCTGAACTTTCTGAAGAATCTTCAGAAACTAACCCTGGTGTTGGCGCTATACCAGAATCTGATTGAAGCTTATTCCAATCCCATGTTTCTGACTCTTTCACAATGACGTCTCTGCTGATTTCAACTTTGTTGGTTTCTGGACAATAAAGCTTATAGGCACCTGTACTGTGGTACCCCACCAGTAACATTGTTTTGCTTCTATCATCCAGTTTTCGTCTTCTAGCCTCTGGAACGTGTTTGTAGCATACAGTGTTAGAACATAGTTTGATTCTACAACCCTTAATTAGAGTTTTGATGATAACAAAATACAAGAATAAATAAATTGTAAGATTTATATATAAGACATATATGCTACTTAAAATTATGGTTTGTGTTTACAGAAGTTCTGACGGAATCAGCATCAGAAGATCATATCAGCATCAGAAGATCAATAACAGGTGCTACACGCTGAAACCACCAGATCATACGCTGAAGCTTGATGAATAGAATCTGCGCATAAAACACTCTGACTCTGATCTAGATCCTTACCAAGTCATCAGCACTCAGAAGCGCCATCATCAGTTAAATCAAAAGAACGCTCTGATTACCATAAGCAGAGAACACTCTGAAGCGTTACTAAGCATTCAAGACAGATTAATTACCAACGGCTTTATTCAAGACACGATCTTCTCAAAAAGGAAAGAACGTTATTATCATTGAAAGTGATTTATGGACAACAGCGTATCTTTTCCTTGGCTACTTAAACAAGTCTGTGTGAGAAAAGAAAAAGCTAATCTTCACGCACGTACAAAAGCACAAAAAGTT